GTGTCGACATCACTTGTTCGAACACTTGTCACAACATTTTCGTACATGTCCTTGATGAGGGTAATGTACTTTGCTGGGACTTTGTGTTTCTCCAAGGCCCACCACATGACATTCCGCGGTATCTTATTATAGGCCTTCTCCAAGTCAATGAACACCATATGCAAGTCCTTCTTTGCTCCCTGTATCTCTCCATAAGTTGTCGTACCAAGAAAATGGCTTCCATAGTTGACTTCCCAGGCATGAAACCAAACTGATTTTTGGTCACGCTTGTCATTCCTCTTAAGCGGTGCTCAATGACTCTCCCATAGCTTCATCGTATGGCTCATCAGCTTAATTCCACGGTAATTAGTACAACTCTGAACCCCCCCCCCCCTGTTCTTGAAGATTGGTACTAATATACTCCGTCTCCATTCTCCTGGCATCTTGTTTGCCCGAAAAATGAGGTTGAAAAGCTTGGTTAGCCATACTATCGCTATGTCACCGAGGCCTTTCCACACCTCAATGGGGATACAATCAGGGCCCATCGCCTTGCGTCCTTTCATCCTTTTTGTAACTTTAACTTCACTCAAAATAAATTAGAAGAGACCAAAACAAGAAGCTTGTTATCCATTGTAACATTTACTCGTTCCTTTTGTAACTATCAACATAGATTGAATGCGAACTTAATATTATATACATAGTTATGGACTTATAGTAAATCAGGAAACACGTCTAGACAATTTTCTCCCAGATTTTTTTTTCATGTGAATTTGGTACCACAAACCAAAAGTGATTTATGATGTCGCCTAGTTGTGTGATGCACTTGATATCTCTCTGAAAAATAACCTGCATTTCATGACATCCTAATACCATTTCGTAACCTATCTATGCTGCTAATATTTATTACTTTATGTTGGCATTTTTAGGTGGAAGGTACGATTGAGTATATCTGTCGTCATGAAGGAGAAGGTGCAATCCTTGTATTCCTTACTGGTTGGGACGAAATTTCAAAACTTTTGGACAAGATTAAAGGGAATAATCTGCTTGGCAATTCCAATAAGTTCCTAGTTCTCCCACTGCATGGCTCTATGCCAACTGTTAATCAGCGTGAAATTTTTGACAGAGCACCAGCTAATATGAGGTAATTAGTCACGGTGTATATATAGAAACATTTGATCTGGATTATGTGCTATGGATATGATTTTGCTTTTACATATGGATAGTGTGTTGCAGACATACTTCTGTCTTCCTACTTGCATATCTTCTATTCTTCTCACTTTCTCAGTGTCACACCTCCACTATTATAAGTTAATGGAAACATGCTCGGTTTCCTTGCCTTCTTGTTATCGCTGGCAGTGTATTTAATGGTAAAAGTATGTGTTAGCAAGCTCGTAGGTAAAATTATGTCTGGGAAGGAACTACTGTAAGTACAAAATTTTGGTGATGATTTTACATATGCCATAGCAACTTCCACGTTTTCCCTCTCAGTTTCCTTTTAAACTATCTGCTGCCACTTAAGCTATTTTTTCTCTTACCCTCACATTTGATGTAGGTTTTTTTATTATTATTATTGTGTGCTGTTAAATTGATATTTTATTTTCTTTATCAATTAATGCAATTTGTTCTTTGTTATGTACTCGTGCAACAAGTTCTAAGTTCATTTGAGCAAGTTGTCCTAAATCCTAATGGTTAATGCCATTAACTGTTTATACCTACTACATATGTAATTTGCAGAAAAATTGTTCTGGCAACAAATATTGCAGAAAGCAGTATTACAATAGATGATGTTGTGTATGTAATTGATTGTGGTAAAGCGAAGGAGACAAGTTATGATGCCTTGAATAAGCTAGCATGCCTTCTACCATCGTGGATATCAAAAGCCTCTGCTCATCAGGTACGTACCATGGACCATGTTACCCACTTTTCTGGCAAAACTGAATATCCAATAACAGTTGTTGTTGATGACTTTCCTAATTTACACAGAGGCGAGGCCGTGCAGGCCGTGTTCAGCCAGGTGTTTGCTATAGGTTGTACCCGAAAGTCATTCATGATGCCATGCCTCAGTTTCAGCTGCCTGAAATTCTTAGGACTCCACTGCAAGAACTGTGCCTTACTATCAAAAGCTTACAGCTTGGAGCAGTCGCTTCTTTCTTAGCCAAGTCACTGCAACCCCCAGATCCGCTTTCTGTTAAGAATGCAATTGAGCTTCTGAAAACCATTGGAGCGCTGGATGACTTGGAGGAGCTCACTTATTTAGGTACAAAGTTTTACTGCCACCCTTCAATTGTACCACTTCTTAAATTTTACTGTACGTGTTTTTATTTACTTTTGCCCAACTTTGATTTATGCAGGACGACATCTATGTACACTACCACTGGATCCAAACATTGGAAAGATGCTGCTCATTGGATCCGTCTTCCAGTGCCTGGATCCTGCATTAACAATCGCTGCTGCTCTTGCTTATCGTAATCCATTTGTGCTCCCAATAGATAGAAAAGAAGAAGCAGATGCTGTCAAAAGATCATTTGCTGGTGACTCCTGCAGGTAATTGTTATAAGCTTATATCACATTGATATTTCGTGAGGAAGCATGTAGAAGTGTTTTTTGACAACCAATATTACAGAAATTATGGTTTTAGTTTGATGTTGTTTTGCCTGTTATTTCTTCAGTACCATCAAGTGCTGCTTTATTTATGGTGCCTACGTAGCATTCCCCCTGTTTCACTATATCTGTCCCCAGCCTACCATGTGCACAAACCAAGCAATCACAAAATCTAAGGATATTTTAATAGATGATAACCTTAAATAAGCAGTTTGCAAAGCAATTAAATAGGGGTACTGTTAGGAAGCAGAGAGGGCGGGGCCGAAGGGGCGGCCGGCGGCGACAGGCGGACGGGGCCGGCGACCGGCGACGACAGCCTGGGAAGCCAGTGGCCAAATCCCCGTTGAATTCGCAGGGCCACGGGCCGGGAGGAGGTGTGGCCGGCGGAGAAGTCGCGGAGCCGCGGGCTGGGAGGAGGCGGCAGCGGTGGAGAAGTCCGGGCCGCGCTCCGGGAGGAGGCGGCAGCCGGCATGGAAGTCGCGAGGCCGCGGCCAGTCGGCTGACGTGCGGCGGAGGGGACGCGTAACTGTCGGACCAATTCAGCCGGGGGCGGATCTGGTGACAGGAAAAACCGGGAGCAGCAGGCGGCCGGTTCATGCAGTGGTGTTGACCACGCGGGCGGAGACCATGCGCCGTGCCTAACAAAGCACCAGCAGCACACGGGCGGATCTTTGGCTGCTAGCCACACGGGCGGATCCTTGGCTGCTGCGCTCCTCCAGCAGCACGCGCGCGGCCCGGTGACGCTCCAGTAGACTTCCGCATGAGGGCAACGGGATCCGGCGGAAGAGATCGTGGGGGTCGGACAGCAACCGGCCGGAAGCAGGATGGCGGCATGAGAGATTGGATCAAGAGAGCACGAGTTGCGCGTGCTAAAAAAAGCCCTAAAGTTCTAATACTATGTTAGGAATATGCAACTTAGTATTATCTGGAGGCCAAAGCCATCATATATACAAGTACAGGTGGGAGGCCAAAGGCCAAAATACAGAAAGGCAAAGGGCATCATAAATATAACTCTAACAGGCACAAATGCAAAAAATGCAATAACTACACTCTTGATTTCCTCAATGGACATGTATATTGGAAAGGGGCCTAGTCCAGGACATATGGTGAAACGGGGTGAGTATTGGAAAGGGCCTTAGTCTAGGACATATGGTGAAACAGGGCGAGTGTTAGTTACTGGTTGCTACATGCTAGAAAGCTTGACCCAGGAGGAGCCACAGGATATGGAATGATAGAACCAGGATAGGGAGTGCATAGTATCACTTGCCAATGATACCATCGCCTGCAAAAAGTTTTACGCTGCAGTTGTTTAAGGCACACTGATAGTTTCCTGTGACCTCTTTTGCCAGTGATCACATTGCCCTTCTTAAGGCATTTGAAGCATGGAAGGAAGCAAAACGCAGTGGAAGGGAGCGTTCTTTCTGTTGGGAAAATTTTCTGTCTCCTATGACCCTGAAGATGATGGATGACATGCGAAATCAATTTTTTGATCTACTTTCTGATATTGGATTTGTTAGCAAGACAAGAGGAGTGAAGGTTTGTAACCCTAGATCTCTCTTGCATTCCATAAGTAATTCTACGACCTATGTAGTTATCTATGTTTTTTCATTCCAGTGCACCATTTTATCTACTTTCCAACTGAAGAGCTTCAGTTTCCATTACGATTACTTCTGTGCTAAAATTTCAGGCATATAACCATTATGGCAAGGATCTGGAGATGGTTTCCGCTGTTTTATGTGCTGGGCTTTACCCAAATGTCATACAGTGCAAAAGACGGGGCAAGAGGACAGCATTCTACACCAAAGATGTCGGAAAGGTGGACATTCACCCATCATCAGTCAATGCAGGAGTGCAGCAATTCCCATTGCCTTATCTGGTTTACAGCGAGAAGGTGAAAACTGCTAGCATTTATGTGAGGGACTCCACAAACATATCAGATTATGCTCTTCTACTTTTTGGTGGTTCCTTAAGTCCAAGTAACACCGGAGAAGGCATCGAGATGCTTGCGGGGTATCTTCATTTCTCTGCACCAAAGCGTATCATAGAGTTGATCCAGGTATGACCAACTTCTCAACAATAGCTTGCTTCTTGAACCTTTTCTCTTTTATAAATATAGTGCTAAGTAAATCCAAGTGTTCGTTCAGCAACAAAGAGGTGACATGAAACTTTAGTTCCGGTGCTTCTTTTAATGGTAATTTTGTGTCTGTACTTGCTGCTTGATCTAGATTCCTTGTTATACAAGCTGAGTTCGTATAACAGTAAGTAAGCTTGGCTGTGATTATCATAGTAGTTGGAATGACTGATATCTGGTTTTACTGCTATATTGCAATCAAGTTCATTTCAGTGAATAAAATAGCTTATTTTTCAGCTAAAATTTTCAGTTTACCCTAACGAGAGATGTTCTTTTTACTTGACAGAGATTAAGAGGTGAATTGGACAAACTCCTTCAGAGGAAGATTGAGGAACCTGCACTTGACATCTTTTCGGAAGGGAAAGGGGTTGTGGCTGCGGCCATAGAACTGTTGCACAGTCAAAACATTTACCACTAGATGCTACATATACACGTTGCAGAAGGCAATTCCCCAACTAAATGAAACCCGTCCTAAGATTTTGTAATATCTGTATTCTTTAGTACCTTCTGCTTGGACAAGCACCTTTGGCTCTCAGGCTTAGGTGCACCTGATATGGATTATTTTAGTAATTCCAAAAAATGTCAAAAAAAAAGTTTCGCCAAGGAATGACTTTCGTGGTATATTGGGCCAAAAAAAACCAACATTATATACAGGTTACTATTCATGCTTTTTGTCCTTGAAAAATTGTTTGTTTTTGCCCTGAAGTTGATGGGAATTTTTTCTTGGTAAAAGTTTTTATACGAGTACAATAGAAGGTCAAGTTTGTTTCCACAAAAGATTTAGAACTTTTTGACTTTTTGGAATTACTAATTTTTCCTATATAAGGTGCTCCTACACCCAAGAGCAAAAGGGTATTTTCTGATTAATGAAGCATCCTTTTTCCAAGTAGTTAGAAGTCAGCAGCACATAACATTAATATTAGAAAATACAATCGTGTCTTCTTGATGAAAATATTAGGGACAAGCTACACGTCTGACGTAAATATTAGTGGCCTCGCTTTCTCTTACCTCTATCCAGCTTTGGTACTTAAGTGCAGCTTTGTTAATATGCTGAATATTCATCTGCTCCTGATGAACAGTAAACACAAAAAATACTAGAAAATTCATAAAAAAAAATCTGTTTTTGTTGTATTGAAAATGTTCAAGTGCATGATGTTTGGGCGAAATTTCACCATGTTATGACATGAGGAACTCGTGGCAAAAAAGTCAAAATTGGTCTGCACAGTGCGTAAAACAATAAACTTTCTCATGGGTTTCTTAGAGCTACTCAGGTGTCCAATCATGATGAAATTTGACACGAGGTCACGCACTAGAACATCTTCCATGCAAAAAAACATTCAGTTTTTTCTGAATTTTTTTGAATCTACTGTTCACCCACGGGGAGGAGATGCACTTGAGAGCCAATCCTGTAGGTACGTCCCAATCCTTCTTTGAAAGAAAAAAAAGCCTCAGTCAGAACGAAAGTGCCTTTCTACACCCAGGAGCAAATGCTTCTGGGATGAACAGTAAAATAAAAAAATAGAAAAAATTCAATAAACTCTGAATTTTTTTGTGACATACTTTCATAAATGTTTGTCGTGCACGCAAAAATTCATCGCGAAATCACATTGGTGGAAGTCGTGCCAAAAAAAAAATTGAAGCTTCAAAATGCTTTTGTAAGTAACATTTTCAGAGCATCGATTTTGTTTTTTTTACCACGCCTTCACCAATGTGATTTTGTGATGAAATTTTGCATGCACAACAAGCATTTGTGAAAGTATGCCACAAATAAATTTCAGATTTTTTTTGAACCTTTTTTGATTTTTTTTATCTTACTGTTCACACATGCTCCTGGGTGTAGAAACTCCACCTCCCAGTCAGGACTGTTTCTAACAGCAGCATGGATGGCGATCTTTCATCTGAAATTTGTTCCCAACAATCCAACATCATCTTCTACCTCCCCAAACCAATTCCGAAAAGCCATGACTTAACACTTGTCATCTCAACGGCATGGTCCAAGCACAGCTAATATTTTCATGTCGGGGGTCAAAGGGCACACGATGAATATTCCACCAAATAAATTTCATAGGGAAAACATTTTTATTTCAGCACATCAAACCGCATGCTAAATTCATGAAAAAAATAATTCACTAAGTAGAACAAAGAATGATGATACAAACCGCATTTTTAACAAATTATTCTGCGTACATGTAGACAGTTCGTTTATTTGTCGGTCATTCATGCCAGAAAAGCCATTATTCATTTTTTTTCCAAGTCCAAAGTAGAATCAGGCAATACACAATGTGTTACACCATGAACATACATCCTCTTCGTAACACCAGCCATCTCAAGATGCATTCCGGTTCAATCTTGACATCATATGTTCAGATCTCTGCATATGTGGAAAAATAAATTGTATGCTTAGAACTGCTTGCTAAATTCAAATGAGCAAGTAGTGTGATAAATCATGATTTAAAACATAAAACGATTATCATAATTAGTTTTTAACTGCCTCCACACTCAATAACTATCTACTAATATCCTATTTAAAAAAAACTATCTACTAATATCCACTGGTAGTCATATTTACTAATGGATCACTGGCAGGAACACATGAATGCAGCTAAACACATCATTATGTTCCAAAATTTTCCGTACAGAAGGCACTTGCTTCAGTATACCCATGAATGCAAACTAAGCATCATTGGCTTATCAGAACAAAAGAAACCTCCAAAAAAAATAACAGACCTGCTCGGTGTAAGGCAGATACTTCCCATCAAATGTGACCACCACACGATCTTTTCCATCAGCCCCTTGAATCTTGTCAACTGAACAGTAGAAGTCTATAGCCGACATGCTGCAATTGAAAGCATTTAAATAAAGCAATAAGACATGGAAAGATTATTGAAAGTAATAGTAAGACAGACAGATCAATTTTGCAATCTCCATAATACTATATAGGTCGGTTTCTTACATTCCATCACCAAAATCCTCATTGATGATCTCCTTGATGCTCTCTCCAAAATGCATAACAGCTTCATTCAATCTGTGTACATTATAATATAACAAAGTTAGTAACAACGCAATTCTACAATATTGTAGCATGAATTTCAGTGAAATGTACCTTCACTCCAATAATTAAGTGAAACATTTGTGCGCAGGGGAAGCATCAATGAAACATGTGCAACCAGGAAATAATGTGCCATCCGGATAAATTGGAACAAAAGAAGCTAAACCGATGTGATTAGCAATAAAAAAACAGTGATACACCTACTCTGGACAAAAACAGCATGGTACAACTGTGCCAGACTGTTGAGAACAAAGTGGATTATCAAGTGCAACAGGCAAAGTACAGAAGCTAGAGATTCCAAGGAAAGACAGAGGCATCAGTATCAAGACTCAAAACTATCAACAGGCTATGGTAAAATTTATTCTTCTACCCTTGAGTAAGAACTTGGGTACAGAACATCCCATTTGAGTTTATACAAAGAATGGAAGATTAGAGTTGACACAAATACCAAAGAGCTGGATGGTAGAAGGTTGCTGTTTGTGAAACATTGCGGAATTTTAGCAACTTTCCCTCCCTCGTCATGTCTTCATTCAGATTCAGCAGAAGAGCCAATATTCTTCCATTTTCTCGCTGACATTTAAGGTACCACTTTGCTTTACAACATCATGCGCTATAGTTAGTGTTTGAAGTAGCTGGCAGTAATCGCGCGCCCCCTACACCGAGTTCGAGATGGAATTCGGGGATAAAACTACAAGGGCCTTGGGAGTGGGACAAGACTGGGCGGTCGGCACGAGGTAGGCACCTGTATATGGCGGGCTCGTGGACGATGTGCGGGTGGTAGGACCGGAAAGGCGGCCGCATCATGAGCTCCACGAGCTCGTCGGTGAGCGCCGGGACGGCCGCCCGGAACGCGGGCGCCATGTCGGGCTTGAGCTGCGCGACGTAGACGTTGGTGAGCCCTGTCTCGGCCGCGATGTCGGAGAAGCTTTTCCCGGACTCCTCCTTGGCCGCCAACAGCCGAGGGACTACGGCCGCCGCGCTCGCGCCGCTCTCCTCCATGATTTGTCCGTCCGCCGTCCGCCTGCTTTGCCCGCGAGGTGCTCGACGAAATCGTTGGGGTGGGAGGGTGAGGCACGGGACGAATCTCTGATTGTACACCTCGTGGTGGGTGAGTGTGGCTGTAATTGGCGGCGAAACGACGGGGAAAGTTTTTCTTTTCCTACTGTAATTTCTTTTGAGATTATCCTACTGTAATTTACTATTCCCTCTGTCTCATAATATAAAAGTGTTTCTTACACTAATGCAGTGTCAAAAACACTTTACATATTATGGAACGGAGGTAGTAGTATTTGATTGATGAGGAGGAAAGTTTTTGCAGGGAACTCGCGGAACAAGATGTCTCTTCGGCCATGTGTTTATGTACTAATTAGGCCGGTCTTTATGGCCTGGTTGAATATCCTGATCCGGGCTCTTAGATGGACCAGTTGAGTTCAGTCTGGCTAGTTGTGGGCTTGGCCTTGTGTCCACCAAATTCCTTTACGCGGCCATCGCCTTTTTAACGGCTCCTGAACCCTTTAGTTTGATTTGGGATATCCGTCTGTCCTTAAAAATCCGGATCTTCATATGGCAATGGATTCACGGCTGCCTCCCAACGGGCGTGGAGGTCCGTAAGCGTAATGGACCTGGGAACGGGATGTGCCCCTTGTGCGACACGGTGGAGGATGCTAACCACATCTTTTTCTCGTGCCCTACGGCCCAGTTCCTCTGGTCCTACTTCCACGAGACTGTTGGGGGCCAGTGGTGTAACACCAACTTTCCTGAACTGCTTGCGGAAATCCATGCTTCCCCCCTCGCTACCGCCATATCAGATGGCTCTGCGTTGGGGTCCTCGCCTGGACATTCTGGACTGTTCGCAATAAGCTTGTCATTCAGAAAGTCCCACTTCGACGTGCTACTGACGCCATTTTTAAAATATGTGAATACTTGCAGCTCTGGCGGCCGCTTAGCCGTCCCTAGGATCGGAACGTCATCGACAACCTCATCGCCGACCTTCGCTCGATGGCCTTCAGCTCGGCGCCCCCGCTCCCCCCCCCCACCGGAGCCAGACTAGATGTTGTGCAGCACCCTCCGTGTGCATGCCTTTTTTTTGCTTTTCAGGGCTTGTTGAGTTGTGCCCTCAGCATTAACCCTTTTAACTTCTTGCCGTGTCAGACCTGTGCGTATATGTGTTGTGGATGAACTTTGTTGGCTGTTGGGCTTTATCTATAAAGCGGAGTAAAAGCCTTTTTAGATATACATATGTACTCATAAAATAACTTATACATATCTATATTTTTAATTGATGCAAAAAAATCACCTCAACAAAATACTGATGTAAAAAATCTCTACCTCAACCAAATAATAAATGGGCTATTACTTCCAGCGACACGTCATCGAAATTGCCCTCAAAGTTGCAAAATATTACCCACTGATGCCATCTATAAATGATTAAAAAACATTTCACACAATGGAATCCTTGCATTAGCCGGCCCATGCAGTCACGACCTATACTACACTCTGCGCACTGCAAGGAGACGCAGCACGCCCATGTCCGGGCGGCCTGCTTTTTAAATTTTCTTTTTTCTTTTTCTTTCTTTACTTTAAATAATTTGGTACTTAAAAAAGTTTCTAAAATTAAACAAAATAAGAATTTTGAAATAAAATGTTTAATGAATCATCAAATGTTTGTGGATTTAAAACTATTAGCGATTTTGTAAAAAAAATGTTCGCTTATTCAAAAATAATTCGTGCTTTAAAAAAATGTTCATGATTTTTAAAAAGTTCGTGTATTAACTATTAGGAAATGTTAATGAAATTGAACAAAATTTTGCTAATTCAAAAACTGTTCATGAATGGAAAAGTATCCTAGAAATTCAAAAACTGTTCGTGAGTTACAAAATAGTTTATCATTCATAAAATGGTCATTGATTTAGAAAACGATCATGTATTCAAAAAAATGTTCATTAAATCAAAAATATTCGTGAATTTCAAAAATGGTTCCATCAATTTCAAAAAATGTTCGTTAAATCAAAAAATTATTCGTAAATTTTAAAAATGGTTCCACCAATTTCCAGAAACTGTTCGTCGATTTTAGAAATGTTTGCCGATTCAAGAAAATTGTTTGTTTTTTACAATTGTAAAAAGTGTTTGCAAATAATATAAAATGTTCATGAATTGATTTTAGAAAATGTCCGAAAATTTGTAAAAGTGTAATGAATTAAAAAAATTGTTCATGATTTCAAATATGTCCACGAGTTTAAAATATGTTCATGATTTCACGAAATTGAGAGTGATAGTGTATCTCGGTGATGCAGCAAAATGTGGTTATGGCCATTGAAGATTATGTTTTTTTTCTCCCGTTGCAATGCACAGACCCTTTTTCTAGTCTAAATAAAATTTATACATATTTTTATTTTCTTCATTTTTTCTTAAAATACTTGTCTTTCTATTCTTTCAGTGCTATTTTACTTATGAGTAATATAGTCACCTACCCATTTGGCCGCATAATAAATTGTTTAAAATTTATTGTAGAGATTTTTTTTGTAAAAATGGTGCGAAAGCAAGATTTTTGAAACGCTGCAGTAAAGCATTAACAATTCATATTGTTTGCCGCCCACTGGCAAAGGATGAATCATAATCGTTCAATATGGCATGCTTTATTCGACTTGTCGATACATGCAGTCAAGAAAAATAGCAGGGTAATTAGCTCTTCTTGGAGATTTACACTTTTCGTTCAACATGTTGTGCGTGCATGCCATACATCGATGGGGATGTACCATGCCTGTGGAAAAAGAGATGGTCAATATGAACATTTTACTCACACTCTTAAGTTCTTTCAGTCAACTCTAGGACGAGACATCGATCATCGGTTGGAGAGATATTAGATATCAGCTGGTTTCATTACTAACCACCTTATTGAGTTTAGGCACAGCGACAGTGAAAGAATATTCAGCAGACCTTCACACAGGCATTTACAACCATAGTGAAGAAGTAGCTACTCGAGATCCGAGACGATCAGACGTACGTCGTCCTCACCCGCCGGCCGGCTACTCAATGCGAGCGCTGAGAAATTAAGTCCCGGCAGCGGCAGCCGTGCAATGATCGGCCGGCTACGGCTACGGCTACGGCTACATTCACTTGTCGTCGTTGTGACCCCTCGTGGATCTACAGTTGCCGGTCCTTCCCGGATCGCGAGCCACGCCACGCAACACCTGTCACCTGTGGCTGTTGTGGTCGCTGCGTTGCGTGCTCGCGTCGATCGGGCTCGCCAGCTGCTTCTGCATGCATGTGTTGTGTGGTCGATCGTACGTACGCGTTCGCGGAAACGCGATCGCCGAGGCAGAGACCCTTCCTTCCCTGCTCGACTCGACTGAATAACTGATAGGTCGGCTCGCAGTTAGGGATGTCGTCTTTGATTTATTCATCGGCCTCTGTTTATCCCTGCACCAGCAATAGTTTCTTATTCCACAGTTCAGCTGCTCCAACAGTAGCGCTTAATTTTATCCATGCTTGTCTGTTCTTTTTTTCTTTTCAAAGGAATGATAGTAGTACTCCGACTTCTTTCTGGTGTGTTAAAGCATCTACAACCAAACTTTGCAAATCCGGTCCCTCAAACGTCCATGGACGCGACTGGATGCGTCCGCGGACAATGACCGTTCACGTCTCAAATTAGCCATTTTGCATTGGCCTCTTTCATATTTCATTTCTTAAATTCATATAAAGCATGCAAAAGAAATTCTACGTACTACCCTAACTACTCTTCGTCGTCAGAGATGTCCATGACGATGGTGTCGGGCGCCGGCTGGACGGACGGGTAGAAGGGCTCCGGCTCATCCTCCTCCTGCTCGACCTTATCCATGTAGGCGAGCATCTCCGCCTCCTCCGCCTCCATCTCCTGCCAGCGTCCTCACATCCTCCTCCTCCCCATCGTCAAATTCCACCTCCGGATGCACTGCATCCGGAGGTAACCCTACAGTGATCCGGGCTTCGCGCCTAGTCCGGATCTGCTCAAGGAGCTCGAGTCGGTGCTCCGGTGTCAGAAATGGCTCGCTACTCACCCGACAACATGGGGCATGGCTACTAGGTGGATGGGTAAAGTTAAAAGTGGCGGCAACGACGAACATGAGGAGGAAAATGTGGATGGATGATAGAGTTTCAGTGTCGCCGGTTGTTTAAATAGCCGGGCTAGGCACTACGTGGCCCGCCAGGGCTGCTCTACCCTGCGCCACCAGTCCGCCAGAGGAGACGAGTTTCGGACCGCCGGGTTTGAGGGCGTTTCCGGCTGGAACGCCTTCGTCAGTCCGACGTGGCAGGCGTGCCCGGGCACCCCATATCCATCCTATATTTGAATTTGATATAAGGGGTGCCGGTCAGCCCGATGTTTGAGGCCTGTTTGAGGCGTCCGTCTGGACCGAGAAAAACGTGACCGATCAATAACCGGACGGCCCGTCTAGATATTTAAGAAGGGTTTGAGGCGCCTGACTGTAGATGCTTGTCGGTGTCAAAACCGGCGGATCTCGGGTAGGGGGTCCCGAACTGTGCGTCTAGGCGGATGGTAACAGGAGGCAGGGGACACAATGTTTTACCCAGGTTCGGACCCTCTTGATGGAGGTAAAACCCTACGTCCTGCTTGATTAATGTTGATGATATGGGTAGTACAAGAGTTGATCTACCATGAAATTGTAGAGGCTAAACCCTAGAAGCTAGCCTATGGTATGATTGTTGTTGTATATCATCTATCGACTAGCCTGGCCTCAGTTTATATAATGCACCAGAGGCCTAGGATAACAAGAGTCCTAGCCGAATACGCCGGTGGGGAGAAGTCCTTGTCTTGATCGCCAAGTCTTGTGGAATCTTTCTTGTATGCGGCAGCTGTCCGAACTGGCCCATGAGTATACGGCCATGGGGGTCCTCGGCCCGATCTAACAGATCGGGAGATGATGTGGTGAGTACCCCCTAGTCCAAGACACCGTCAGTAGCCCCCTGAACCGGTCTTCAAGTTAGTGACGTTTTTCGATTCTTCTGAACTGTTCTTCATCTTCGGTTGTCGGTCTTGAAAAGTGGTTCAACAAATCTTCTCACCTTCGATCTTGAGGATCGCCGAAATGCATTCGGCGAGTTTACACGTCGGGTATCCGAGGAGCCCCTGTAAGTTTCCGGCCTTTATCAATGCCTTGTTATTTTTATGCCACACCTTGGGTTTGAAATTGTTCCCGGGCGGCAGCGTCCTCTTGCGTCCGAGCTTTAACGCTGGACTGCATTCAAGGTATCTTTGCAGCCAAGCACCAACGCCGGACCGCTTCCGAGCTCTAACGCTGGAATGTATCCGAGCTCCAACGCCGGACTATGTATCCGAGCTCCAACGCCGGACTGTATCCGAGCTCCAACGTCGGACTGTATCCGAGCTCCAACGCCGGACTGTATCCGAGGTGTTGTAAATCACCTTGGTTCAAAGAAGTTTGAAGGACTTTAGCCGAGCTTAATGCCGGAAATGCCCTCTATGGAGCCAGCCACTAGCGCCCGAGCTTTATGCCGGACTGCTTCCGAGGTGGTGCACCACCCCGAATGTGGGCCAATTTTTGTCAATATTTTTTATTGGTGCAACTTATTCTCTGCCGAGATATATAGCCGGTAGCCCTCAAGGTGGGTATCAATCTAAAACCCGAGATGCACCTGAAGGATGACGTAAGACCGCTGATCCCAGTAGCCGCTGAGACTCAGGTTGATTTGCAAAATCGGCCTGAGGATCAAGTCCTAGCTCGGCAGAATACTTCGGGACACTAAAAGCGGCGTGCTCAGTCC